TATATATATATACATACAGTACGACACGCATGTCAAACACAGAAAACTCGCATCTGCCAAAAAAATTTTTCCTTCTTTATCTTTGTAGGAAAATTACATGAAGCTCGAACACAAACACGGAATAGTCTAACCAATTACGCTGCCATAGTCAATATCCTTTGAGGCGCAATTGAGACAAAATGTGAAGCATCATGGAGAAATAAGGTGCTCGTCAAAATAATTAAATCAAAGAAATCTGCATTTTGAAGGCTGTTGAGAAATTTTTTTTCAAATTGTCTTTTTTTGGCTCAACATCCTTTAAGTCCATTTTAAAAAACATGTATGTGCGGATTTTACTGAAAAATGTAGATGAAAGGCACAAAAACTGTAAATATGCCGTTTCCAAGGACTATCAATCTTTGGAAGTCCACAAACTATGGCGGCCATTTTTTCGCTAATTTTGTTTCTTTAACTGGGCGACCCCTACCTCCTCCAATCGCAAATATCCCAACTTCTACTCAAGATGGGAGGGTATTTTTTTCACCAAAACCAAGAAAAATGAACACACTTTAAGATGATACCAATTACTCCACAAGCCCAAAAATTGACGAGCGCCTGATTTCACCACGTCTTGACCCAAACAATACTGATAATAGTTTACTTTAAAAACAGAAAAAGGCCAAGTCGGTAAAATACCACCTTCCCCCCTCCATAGAAGCAGCTAGCTGTTCTACTTTTAAAGTGCTGCTCAATGTACATGCTTTGGGCCTTGGCCGAGCTAGTGTGGAGCGGGCGAGAGGAACGGTTGAGAATCACACGATCGGCCACCCCACCCCTCCTCACAAAGGACTGCGCGCTTGGTGATAGAGGCGGGGTAAGGCTGCATTGTCTAGTCATCGTGTTGGTGATTACTGTTGCGATATGCTTATCCTATCAAACTGATTATTGAAAAACTTGAAAAGGCACCGTTCAATTGGTGAAGACAAAAGACCGCTCACACTGACCAGTGCAATTAAGCTGTCTTGGTACCAGTAGGATCATTACCAACCAAACTCAAAAGCGTTGCTCATTGTGTTTCTCATTCTCAATCCGCTTGCAGACAACCAAAGAGAGGTAACCAATCTATTGTTTTGCCCCTAAAGTAGCAATCTTTGTTGCTTCCCTTGTTTCTCTGACACAGCCGATGCCATAACACTGTTCATGTATCCCTCAAACTACGGATCCCCCGAACTATCGAGGTCAGCCCCCACGAATTCGAGCTATCCGTGGATATATGTGTGAGGCAGCATATGGTGAGCTCAGGCGCTCGTCAAAATAACTAAATCTGAGAAACGGGCATTTTGCTACAAGTTTGGAAATTTTTATTGAATTCTTATTTTTTGGCTAAACCTCTTTTATGTCTATATAAAAACACAGTTCCATGTGAATTTTACTGAAAAACCAATTAAAGGAATAAAATATGTAATTTTTCAGTTTTCAAAGACTCTTTAGCTACCGGTATTGGAGTTACCAAACTTTGGCAGCCATTTTCTCGCTGATTTCACAACAGAAACCAGGCGATCTCATTTCCTTCAATCACAAATATCTTGAGTTCTATTCAATATAAATGGATATTAATTTCATTGAAAGCAAGGCAAATAAATCAGCTTTCAGGTGATACCAATAACTCCACATGTCAAAAAAACTGACAAGTGCCTGATTCCACTGCGTTGTGACACATTATTATTATAGAAAAAACGTAAGGGGGAAGTGGGAAGTAGTAATTTGTACAGCAGTTTCATATATACTTCAGAGTCATCCTCACCTTGCAATCAGAACAATTACTCTCATTGGGTCCCGAGCAATTGTGAACAGGAATAAAGCAAAAGGGGGCCCAAAGGCAATGAAGGCGCAGCCAAAGAATTCCATCAAAGTCATGGTGACTCTTTCTTTCCTTTCTGGTGACTCTGGAATTCAAAACATGAAACGTGAGTTGCGGTTTAAATCATACAGAGGGGCAAATATGCCATAAAGTGGGATTATTCTCCCCCCTACTTCTGGGATTTCAATACCAATAATAGTGAGGCTGCATCATTTAATATTCCTACAAAAGGAGTGTTTGATATTTTCATTAATATAGTTTCTACACTACACCCATTTACTCAATGTTCATAAATTTAATTCTAGGACTACTAGGAACAAATCTTATCAGGGGTATTATTTTATTTTCAAACAAGTCTCATAATCAGACAATCTATAGCCTGATTCAGGGGATAAGCAACAGTTTTAGAGGCCATATGTGTACCCAAGAACAGGTGTGACAGTGAAAATTAAATTTTACCCTCGTCTTCAACCTGTAATATTTATTCTCAGTGTGTCACCACTACTATACTTATTATACTACAGTAGTCTCCGCCTAAACGCACGCCAAACAAAGGCATGCTCCACTCAAACGCACGTTTTTGTCATATGAAGGGGTTTTTACTATATAATTTAGACGTAAAAACGCACAGTCATTTCTTCTAAACGCACGCTTCAATCTGCTAAACACGCCGACACGCAAAGCTTGACCAGGGGGAATTTTTGCTGCAGCCTAGACTAGCTTGCATACAAGCCTTGACGAGACTGACCTTCAAACAGAACATTGACAGCGATAGACAGTTTTCATGCCCAACTTTCCCCAGATATATAGGCCTAGGTCTAGGACTGGTCGGGTGATATGTTGGGTGGTTGGGGGGAGGCCTGAAATGTCTTCTGATAGGTCACTTGAAATGCATCTTTGAGAGAAGGTTTCTGACTGGTGTTTGAGTGACAGCATATATGCAATGTTTAATAATACAATCGAACCTGCCTTAACGGAAACCAGTATAAAACGGAAACCTGTCTTAACGGAATCCCCCCCCCCCCCCCTTGATATATTCCTCTTTAATTACCTGTATAAAACGGAAACCTGTCCAACGCAGAAACGGAAAGAAAAATCTGCTCCCTTCCGAGAGTTTTACCTGCCTAAGATGGAAAATGCTTTGCCCGCTCAGCCCTGATTTGAAACAAATCCCGCAAGTTTGGTTCCGCCGGCTCTAAACTTAGCGGTATGGCCATGCCGCTGGGCGAGGATGGGGAGTAGGGGTAGAATTTGGGGGTAGAAGTTACCCAAGGAGACACATCATGTGAGCACTGAGCGATGCAGATGGTCAGTGTAGTGTGGGTGTGAAACTTTCTTGGGTAGCCAGAAGCCAGAGGTGTAAAATTAGATTGACCAATGCCTGCCGCCCTGATCGTTCGGCCAGTCGAGAAAGAGTTCCTCGAATCGTTTTTACATTGATGGCAGTGAGGGGTGGCATTGGTGGGTGGGGCTAAGGGTGGAAGCAAACGAGATGTTCAAACGTTTCTGTTTTTAAAAAATGTCAAAGAGAGGTCCTATGAAAAGCAAGCACTGGCAGTAATTGGATAAGTAAGACTGAGGCATGTAATTATCAGACAGGATAGCAATTGAGAGGTGTGAAGTTTTGACCACTGCTTGCCGATCAGACAAGCGATCCTTGATCCCACCGGCTGGGCCTTTGAACCCCCCCTTCCATCTCCCCCTAAATTCCCCTGTCTAAGACGGAATTTTTTTCTGGCTCCCTCGCAATTCCATCTTACACAGGTTCGACTGTAGTTAGACCTATGATGCTCAACACGCAAAAATGCTGTAAAAAACTAGATAGGCCTCTTATTAAAGATTAGTAAAGTAGTCAACTGCGCTTGAAGAACTTATAGTGTACTTATTCAACAAATCAAAAGAGAAAAGTCTGATGTCATCCATGCATTTACAAGAGTTGCAGTAGATGACAGCCTGACAGGCAATCGGGATTGGTCGCTTGGAATTGGAAGGCCGCGAGGCTGAGAGCTTTTCGCTATGACCAGATCTATCACGAACAGTTTCCTTTCATCTGTTCCTGACATTTTATAGTGCATATCAGTACAGTGAGTCCATTTTTCTGAGCTCCCTCCCCCCACCCAACACATTCAATGTCTTTGTATTCATAATTCATAACTGCAGTCGGGAAATCCTTTACAAAACAGTCACGTGTTGTCTCATTATCGGCCAAAACGACCCATCACCCCCAAGGGCGGTCATTAAAATATCAAGGAAATAGGATTGAGTCTCTTCCTCCCTTTGATCAGGTTCATGTAAACGCAGACTCCGTATAAACACAAGCTTAGGGGCCTTCCCAAGCACTGTGCATTTAGGCGGAGACTACTGTATAGAGACCATTATAGACATTGCTAGGCTAGTGATAGTATCTCTAGTCTGACTGTCTACCTGTATAGAAGAAATTCCCTAAAACATCAAAAGCAAATTATTGCGCTGAAGCTATAAGGACTAGTTGAAATGTTGCAGTCCCTGCAGAATTATGCAAATTTAGATGGCCAAATTATGCAAGACAAATACAAAATTATGCAAAAATTATGCAAGTTACCGTAACGCCGTTCACGACATGTATTGCACTTTTTCAACAAGAATATTCATGTTTTAGATCTAAGTACAAAGAAATTGAAAATAGAACATATCAGTATCAGTAGTTTTTTGTGTATTTGGAAAGATACACATCAGTAAGAAAAAGAAAAAAACAACCAAAAAAAATTATCTCTGTAATGTAACTTTCAGCTGTAGATCTATAGAGGACAGAAAAATGTTATTAAAAAAACAAAAGAAAAAAAAAATTAATTAAAAAAATCTGGACCTCTGAAGCTAGCACATTACTAATATCAGGGACACCTGGCAAACATCAAACATCAGAAGACATGAGAACAACTTTTGTTGGAGTTGGATTGAAAAACTGAACATGCTCAAGGAACAAAAATCCCTAACAAGGGAAATAACCAATTTGTCACTTAAATGAGACTTATTACTGTGATTACTTCCCTTCAGTCACATCCCGAGGCGTTAAATTATTTTGTGAAAAATGTTATTAAAATTAATTTTAAAAACGTGAAAAAAAGCGGGGAATCCAAAATTATGCAAATTTTGAAGAATTATGCGAAAAAACGCGACCGCACCGCGGCCACACAATCGCGTAATAAGATGGGGACAGTACAACCATTCTCCTGACTGCCTTTACAACATCAGTCCCCCAGGCATCGAATATATAATGCACCCCAATAAGCGTATTTCAACATCCTCACTTTCCAATGGATCTCGTATCTGTATGACAGCCGGCCCGGCCTCACTTAGCGCTAAGCTTCTCCAGGTCCCCTATTTTGGTAGCTGGAGTGTGAGTTCATCAGTCTGCTTGTGTTAAGGTCCCTTTGTTTTGGCCTACTTCTAGAACTGCCTGCATTGGTACAAAACAAGGCCTACATCTTGTTCAAAAACAAGCCGAGTTAGTAGCTCTAGATGTTCATCCAATGATATTCGAACAAATTGACCCAGTTCAACATGAAGGATAACCAAAGGATAACCAGGAAAAAAAACTTTCCATTTTTCAAATAAAAAATATTTCAAGTGAGCTTGATTTTACACAAAATCATTATACCTGAAAAAACTAATTTTATATTGAAAGTTTTGAAAACCATTGCACAGGAAAAAAGAAAAATTTGATGCCAAACATTCGGAAATAGATCTATATATTTTTTCCCTTTCTAACCCCTGACCATTCGTAAAAATAATAGCGTCAGTTAAAGTTATTCGAATGGGCGTAACCACTCATAGTGACGTATCAACTTTTGAGAGGGGGTGATTCATGTTAGATCTAGAGAGATAGAGATTCTGATCTAGATCTACATCCAGAATCTAGATATCTAGAACTAGTCTAGATGTAGGCCTAGCTAGATCTAGATCTAGAAAAATCTAACTAAAATCAAATTATTTTTCTAGATTAGATCTTAGACTAAGACTTTATGTTCAAACAAAAGAAGTCAAAAGTGCTAGAGTCTACTACACTTTAACTTACGAAAGTGGCTATTCTCACCCGGGGTGAGAATAGAAATACGATCGACCTCTCACCCCAGGTGAGACTTGCCACCGTAGGCTATTCTCATCCGGTGTGAAACAAGACCTGTTTTTCCTAATTTCGGAATACTTTCTATCGATGTGGATGATCAAATGGATAAAGGCAAAGAAAAGATTACATTATAGCACAAAAGTAAGCTAATTTGATCGCCTACAAAGATGCTACGGCTATTTCACTTTTCGAATCCAGCCGAACTATGGGGGGCGCCATTCTGTTTTGCCCGGAAGTTCTCGCAAGATCCACTCCTCCCCTCTTCTCTCTCTCTTGTCTCTTTCTGAATACTGTCTATCGGTGTGGACGATCAAATTAACCAAAACAAAGTAAAAAAAATGATGTTAAAACAGGCTAGGTTCACGGCGCCGTGAATGTAGTTGGCAGGCTACGTTCACGGCGCCCTGAATGCAGTTTGCAGGCGCTGTTGAGGTTACGTTCACGGCACTCAAGCTTCGTTTAGACGGAGCGTCCACTGCCGGTTTTAGTCAGTTTGGGTAGCCAGAAGCCAGA